CACATTATCAATAGAACCTAGCATAGTATATGGCATAGGGTAGGCACTAAATGGATCTTGAACGGTTGTGGGTAGAAGGGTGGATGGATCTTAAAGCTCTATTTCCTTTGGATGAGGGTATAGAAAAAAAATGTTGGAGATCTTTTTAAAAACTGGGTTCAGGTTTTTTCTTGGGTCCCAATGAAAGGACTGCACATGTCTTGAACATTTGGTCTTCTTTATTCTCTGTTTAGTGGATTCCTGAGATCTGGGGCATCTTTGCTGGTGCTACCACTAATGTTAGAGGATGCTCTGGATGGGATTCTTGATAATGGGTAAAAAATAATACACTTTACATAGCAGAATGGTTAGGTTTGAGTTGTCAAAAGGCCTATTTTGATACACCTGACATTTCAGTTGATTTGATCATACCCTGTGGTGAGGTTGAGGGCCTTTCTCTCTATGGAACTTGGAAAAAGGCAATTCTTCTACTTTTCACAGCAGCAGTAACCAACATTTATCAAGGACTTACTATAGGCTAGGTGCTATTCTTGGCTTTTTTTTTTTTTTGATGTATTATTTCATGTAATTTTCAAAACCAACTCCCTATTGTAGATGAAGGATTTATGATACAGATCTATAAAGTGATTTTCTCAAATTGATTCATCTTGTGAGAGAGCCAGTTTTTGAATCCCAAAAATCTGGCTCTAGAACCCCTACTGTTACCTGCCATGCTCCATGACTGTGAAACAGATGCCTTTTCAAAAATAACACGATGGAAATACTCATGTCAGGAAGATGTGACATCATGTTTATTCTTTGGTTAGCAGGGGAATTCCTGAGACAACTCCACAAAGTCAAGTGGTTACCCTCCATTTTTATTTTGAGTATATGTTGAATGAGTGTCTTGGAGCATCTTTGTTGTAGGAAACCCTGAGTATATGGCAGTAAGCAAGACAAATGAAACCCCCAGTCTTAGAGCACTTAGATTGTAAGGTGTGGACGTTCAAGTATGGGTCCACAATGGTTTCCAGTCTAGAAAAGATAAATGGATAGCAACTAAGAAACTGACTTTTATTTATTGATGTTAGCTAGGTGGATTGCTGTGTTTTTGTTCTATTTTGTTTTAATTTAACAAACAGATAGTGTGGTACTATTCTAACCTCTGCAGCTATTAATGCATTCATTCTCACGACAACCCCATGAGGCAAGTAATATTTTTAACACATACCCATTTTCCAGATGAGGAAATTTAGGCTTAGCAATGATAAATAACTTGCCTGAGTTCAAATTGCTAAGTAGCAGAGCTGGAATTCAAACCTGGGTCGTTTGACTTCAGTCTTTGCTCTTTGCCATCACGGTAGGCTGCTTTTTCAAGCAGGTTGCAGAATAGATTTTTTTTCCACAATACCTTTATTCTATTTATTTTTTATTTTTATGTGGTGCCTCGGATCGAACCACACTGGTGGGGGAAAAGCATTACGATTAATGAGATCTAGCAGCTGGGTATGGACAAGGAAGTGGCAGCGCGCATAGATTTCAAATACTAAAACCCAAACTTTGTCCCATCACTGATACTAATTAATTATAACAGGGGAAAATCATGAGTATCTTCATCTGAAAAGAAGGTACAGTGGGAATGGAATTGAATTGAATTTAACAATCCAGATGCCAGTCCTAGCCTTGCTACATATATATGATTCTGAATAGGTCTCTTAAGTTCTCTATACTTCATTTTCCTCATTTACAAAATGGCCATGAGATTTACCTTACAGTTGTACACAAGCAATACCATTAACATGTTTGTGTCTTTCCACAATGTCAGGATTTATTGAATAACAATAAATTCACAATCTACACCACTTTCATTGTTTGCTATTGACCAAATATTGTGTCACCTCACAGTCATAGACTGGGAAATCGCAAGTTCTTTTATTCTATTCCAATCTTAATGAAATGATCACCTATGGGCTGGGGCTGTAGCTCAGTGGTAGAGCACATGTGAATCCCTGGGCTCGATTCTCAGCTCCACATAATTAATTGCTAATATCCATGACACTCAGGTCATATATACTCCACACAATGCTATATATAGGTTACAGAAAGACTAAGAAAGGGTCAAGGTGGCCACAGGGGGCTCAGGAGACTGAACTGAGAACAAAGGCAGAGAGCAGATACAATGTGAGAGTCACTGCTGGTGGTCAGATAAGAGTACAAACCAACAGTCAGAGTATAGAACTGACTGTAGAGATGTTGGAGTATAGAACTTCCTATAGGCCAGAGCTTGGATGCATGGCAGCTTCAGAGTATCAGCTTGAAGCATCAGCTTGAGGTATCGGCTTGGAGTAGGCCCATTAGTTGTCATCATGTACAGGAGAAACTTCACTGAGCTGAAGCCTAGGAGCAGGTAATTGGAAGGTCTGTTGCTGTGGTGATATTCCTGGACAAGGCTCATGACAAGTAACCAGGTGACGGGGTCAGTGTACCATTGTGTCCAGTCTTGGGATGCTCCTCCTTTTATATTCTGATGTGAAGGGATTGCTTCACATAGTAGTCGGGCCTGTTTTTTCCTGATATAGATTTGATACACCTATGCATTTTTGTGCTTCCGGTTTAATTCAATATAAGTTCATAGGTGATCATTTTTATTAATATTTTTTCCACAATACCTTTATTCTATTTATTTTTTATTTTTATGTGATACCGAGGATCGAACCCAGGGACTCTCATGTGCTCTACCACTGAGCTACAGCCCTGGCCTATAGGTGATCATTTTTATCAGCACAATTTAGTTATTATTATGTGCTTTATTATGGTGCTAGGAAAATGGTGGCTTTTTGTGCAAACAAGGGGTAGAGTCATTCTACCCCAGCGCTTGTTTCAAAATGGAGTGACTCATGGCATAGCATGAAAACTATGTTCTATTCATCATGGAGTAACTCGGAGCCTGCCCTCTACACTTACTCACAGGGAAAATGTGAGGGCTAAGGGGAATTTATACACGTAAAAGCACTTTGAAGCCCCCAAGTTCTATGAGATCATGATGATATTCTGTTTAAGAATAAAACCTGTAGTGATTTTCAAAACTTATATTACAGAAGGGAAACAAAAAGCAGCTGATTTTGAAGACCTGCTGTCTAGTCAAGGTTTCAATGCCCACAAAGACAAAAAGGGACCTCGAACAATAGCTGAGATGAGAAAGGAGGAAATGGCTAAGGAAATGGATCCTGAGAAATTAAAGGTGAGTGAGTTCCTGTCAGTATGATTATCCTGCACCACAAGGTCTTGTGACAAAGTCATGGGTGTGGAGCCATCAGTATGACTATCTGATCATCTCCCAAATGCCCCACTTCCTTATACCATCACTTTGGGTATTAGGATTTCAACATATGAATTTGGGACAGGGCACAGACATTCTGCCACAGCACCACTGGAAGGCATCATGTTCTGGCAACTGCACTATTTCAATTGGTCCCTGAAGCTGTGATTTGAGTACCATCATGCTGCTTTTTTTTTTTTTTTTTTTTTTTAGAGTTTATGGTTATACATAGTAGTTGGATTCATCCTGACAAACTTATATACGCATGGAAATTGATTTCAGTTCAGGATCCTCCCCTTTTCCCTTCTCCTTTTCCCTCCTGTCCTCTCTCTCCTCTCCCATTCTCCTTCCTCTATTAGACTTCCTATCACTTCTCTATTAAATTATATTTGGTTGTTTCTTTATGTTGTCCTATCCTTCCCTTCCCCAGCCATGCCCTTTAATAGCTAAGTGGCTTTGGGGAGGGTTGCACATGCTGCTTTTATTTTATTCTTTAATAAAATAAAATTTACTTCATGGTTTGATAAATACAGATTTCCTTTGTTTCCCTACTCAAATGAGCAATGCCCTCTTTGACTTTAACCTACGTCATCAGAACCTGTTCTAGCGCCATCTTGACAGCCAGTGGTATGATCAGAGATAGCAGTAGCACGCTTTATGATATGGTTTTGTTATTCAGATGGCATTCAGATTCTAAAGATGAATGGTGCAGAATTTGGTGGGAAGGATGTATTGTTTGTATTTTCTCTTTCTACGTTGAAAGGTTTTTTTTTTTTTTTAATTGACTGAAGCCCTCACCATCTGTTTTCTGTTGATAGAAATGTTTATACACCCAGGAATTACCACTCTTGTAGCATCAGACCTAGAAGTTTTGAGGTGGAGGAGGGGGAGGCTGGGGGAAGTGTGCATCCTGGCCTCCCCAATAACTTTCTCTACTTTTAAGTCAGAGAAGTTCTACTTTTTGATTTTGAAGGTCTAGGTGAGAGATTTAATTTGAGTTGGGGGAGAACATTTAATTTTTTTTTAAGTTTGCAGATCAGTGATGCTGATGCCTTTATTTCATAGATGAGGAAATAAACACTGTAAATGAGGCTCTTGTGTGTGTGTAGACAGGTGGATGAGGATTAGCTTGGAGACAGTGGGGTGGTTATGCTGGTGGAAGGTGTGAAGTGGTGGAAGAGGTTGTAAATATCAAGGTAATTGGAATGCTCATCACAGATGGAGAGGCTTAATTGCTACATGATGACAGTATACATGCTGACAGTATAATAAATTGAAAGATCAGGGTCTAATCTTTCTCCCAAACCAGGGCTTTTATAGCAAATCAATCTTATGTTTTGAAAAAAAATATTGCTATTCTCCATCATTTCCTGACATATCTGAATATTAGATGTATATGTATAGATCTTCTAATATTTTTGAGAACAATGTATGATTTCTCATTTGCATTTGATTCTTATGTCAGATAACATCACAGAGGTTTACTATTCTTTCCAAAAAAAAATATTATTTCTTTATGCTCTGTCTCTGTGATCTTTATTCATGAAGCAAACTTTGACAGATTTTTATAAAATAAAGTTGTTTTTTAAAACCATGTTTGATTATTCAATTGTTTAGAAAAGTAATCATCATTAACCATGACTGAACCACTCGTCAACAGCAAACACTCGCAGTTAGGTGGGAACTGCAGTTGCATTATTATGATTCCTTCAACTTAATCACCTAGTTTGTACAAGCATGAATGTTCATCGTTTGAATAAATGTCTAAATGGATCGATTCATTAATAAGCCTTTATGAGCTGTACTCTGTGTCAGGTATATTATTGGTTCCTGAGATACAGTAGTTAAGTAAGTAATAGTACATTTTCTCCAACAGTTCTGCTTAATGGCAGGGAAAGATGAACACACAGTTACATTAAAGGGAAGCACATATCACGAGAGGAGTGTGTTTAAGGTACATACAAGCCCATACAAGTTTGGCTTTTTTGAAAAGAGATATTTATTGAGTTTAGGAAACAAAACTGAAGTGGGAGTCACCTCATGGATACTTTCAGAGTATATAATTAACTGAAGGGGTAATGAGGAAAGAATTCAAACTCTCAGAAATGATCTGTGTGAAATTTCTGACAGGCTTTTTGAAGATTAGTAATGTGCATCTGTAGTCCCAGAAACTTGGGAGGCTGAGCCAGGAGGATCACAAATTCAAGTTCAGCTTAGGCAAAGTCCTATCTTAAAATAATAAAAAGGAATGAAAATGCATTCCAGGTAGAAGAAACTTGGAACATGCCAGGTACCTTAAAGTATTTGATGCCACTGGAGCAGGACAGATGATGGTAAGAGTCCTGGTAGAAAACTTCTGGACTAAAAAACATCTGAATTTCTTAATCCTGTGTTTATAGATTCTGGAATGGATAGAAGGCAAAGAGAGAAATATCAGAGCCCTTCTTTCCACGATGCACACTGTGCTATGGGCTGGGGAAACCAAGTGGAAACCAGTGGGCATGGCAGACCTGGTGACACCGGAGCAGGTGAAGAAAGTGTACAGGAAAGCTGTGCTGGTGGTGCATCCAGATAAAGTGAGTGCAGCCTGCCCTGTTGTCTCACTTGTCAGAGCCTCATTTCATTATTTTATGAGCATGTATCAACACAAAACACCTTGACTTTGCTGGTTGATTAGTCCACTTATTCAATAAAACTGATAAGTCCATGGGTTAAAATGAGATATTTAAATAGTTAATCTTCATGAAGTGGGCAAAAAGAAATTAAACTATATAATATGAATAATGCAAGAAGGATTTACAGAGATGTGCATTCACCAGTCACTTAGTGTTAGGGCTTGGAAGTAATACTGACCTATAGTCATATCACTGGGCTGAGAGCCAGACAAGCAAAAACTTTTCTCCTTGGAAGATGTTAGCAGAATGGCTAGCTAGGATTGTATTGAAAACTCTTTAGAATGTAGTTGGCAGAGTTGGTGAGAATCAACAAGACTTTTAAAATGGAAAATTTTAAATCATTATTTTGATGATTTAAATCATCATTATTTTGATACTGTCTATTTAGGCTCTCATGTACATATGCACACAAGTGCTACAAACTATCAGAAACTTCAGCTACCTCACAGCCCAGTTGCAGTCAGTATAAACCATAGAAACAGACCAGAGTCATCTGGCTGTCAGATGAACTGTACCAGTCATCTGATGTGAAGTTACCATGGAAAACCTCTCCTGGGAACATTTGCTTCAGTTCCTTGTATTTGATTTCTGACTCTCCATACTTTTTCTGACTACTCTGAATAGAAGAATTTAATAAGAAACAACATTAATATTTGAATTTCAATCATTTGAAAGGGCATTAGCTGTTCCCCAAAACATTTTACATCCTGTCTGCCCTTCTTATGAGTCTCAAAGAATTTAACTTCATTAGAAATTGTAAAATAAGAGTTCAGAAATGCAATCAGTTGGAAACAGGCTGTCATTAAGCTTTAGGATTTGGTAGATACCTTTGGAGAATGGAGATGCATCGTTTATTGCCGAATAAGCTCTCTATAATCTTATGGATGAATTACTACTACCTTATGTGAATTTCCAGGGGAGGTCATAGTAATATAATCACATAGATTAAAATAAAAAAGGAAAGTGACTTAATAGAAAAGCATTTAAATTATGTAGAACCCATATTAGCAGTGAACCGAATATAAATATAATTTTTATCTGTGATATCTAAATGTATGTTTTTGTTCTTTTTTATAGGCTACTGGGCAACCCTATGAACAATATGCAAAGATGATTTTCATGGAGCTAAATGATGCCTGGTCTGAATTTGAAAACCAAGGCCAAAAGCCCTTGTATTAATTTGTGAGCTTTTCTATCTTGGCTGCAGACCTTTGTTAATGCTTAGTGTGTATCACAATTCTGAGGTTTTCACAGATGAACCAAAAATACCAATAACATATTTCCAGTACTAAACTAACTGTCAAATTACTCATGAATTAGTTTCTCATGATATAAAGAATATGGATGTTTGGTTTCTCAAAGTCCCTGCCATAAAAAGATCCAAAGCATGAAAGGAACTTTAAGTGAGATGATCTTGCAGGGATACAACATTCCAGCCTGCCCTTTGGGGAGCCTACTCAGCATTTTGCCTGGGGAATGGAAAATTGAGGACACCAAAGGTAAAGGCATCACTCCATCTCACTGTCTGAGAGTAAAATTAATGAACAAAAGTGATAATAGAATTACTTGGATTTCTTGATAGTTTTAAAGAATGGTTTTTAATTTCTCTTGGAAATACATAATTTGAGTGATGGCTTTACAAAACTTCCAGGAACAGAATCATCAAGTATTTTTTTTAAATGGAAATTTACTATGGCCTTCAGCATAACAGTGTATGTGTCTTTTGGTTAAGGGCACTAACAACTATAAATGATGTTAGATTGAGGGAAGGGATTATTCTGTATTCCAGTGATTGCCACCCACTCTTCTTGGATAAGCTACAATTTAGTGCAAATATTGGCTAAAGAAAATAGAGACTGTGAAGCTAAAGAAATCTTTATTTCTATCAGGATGTTGGGCTGCTCTCTTTCTGTCCCTTTAGAAAACTGTAGTTGATTAAAGAAAAAATTTTAATGCTATCACAACTCCAAACCTGGTTTGAAAGACCCTCCTAATTTTTCCATAAGACTTAATGTTTTTCTTTACTTAGCCAAGAAAACATTCTTAACTGAAAACAGATTGTAAAGCAGTTTGGCCCATTCATGATTTGTCAGGACCAACAGGTAGTATGGACTTGGTGAACACCAAGTTTGTGAGTGGTTGTCATAAGAACAGCCCTGATAACTGTAGAGTAGAAGAGAACTGTCGTGGGAAGTAAGCTGCGTGCCCCTCAACAGAGTCACGGAGCTTGGGATTTGCTTTGAGGAACCAGGTCCCCTCTTCTCCTCTGGTGAATCTGGATCCTTTGGATTATTGCAGAGGGGTTTATGGTTTTAAAAGTAGCTGTGAGTCCATAAGAGCAGCATTCACATAGGGACCTTTGGGAAAACAAAGCAAGAATGAAACTTTTCCAGACCTCAGACTGGCTGGATCTCAGCTCAGTGCTTCGGCAGCTTCTCATTTGGAGGAGTCATCTGTTTGCTCTTCTGTGATTTCAGTAGATTCTTGGTGAGCACGTGCACAAGGCAGATGGGCAAGAAGATTTTCATGCTGGTCTTTAAAAGTTCATGCTCAATTGTTGTGAAAGCTTTCAAAAATTGTTTTTAAAAGACAATCATTGGGTTTTTTGTTTGTTTGTTTGTTTCTGTCTTAAGTTTGTTGTGGCAAACTGTACTGGAAAAGCAGCATGTCAAAAATACTTTAGGTTCTACACAAATCTCTCTCTCTTTTTAGTTGTAAAGGTTCATTATTTATTTTATTTCACTGACAATGTGAAACTTGCAGAAAATGTTCTCTTTTTAAATATGCAGCTGTAAACTGTTCGAGGTAACCATAACAAATTAGGTGTTATTTATTAACGTATTATAAAATAATGTTTGATCCAGTATGTGCTTGTCTTATTTAAAATTGGAATGTGAGACATGTTGCTGTGACCTGTTTTTTCTTTTCTCATTCACATTTGTAGATATTGTGTGAACTACAGTATATAATGATAATAATTAAAAGGCTATTATGTGGATGTCACGTACATTTTGAAATGATAGAACTATATATTAGCTTTGTATCATGTTTGGATAATTCATTAATGTTCACAGTTTAAAACATCATTAAACACTATGTAATTAGCAATGAGAAAGAATCTTATTTAAATTTGGGGGGCTCCCCCTCTGTTTTCCAGATACATTATAATTCTGGACCCCTATTTATCTCAAAACTCTTAACAAATGCAGACCAACAGGTTTTTTGCATTCCTTCTAAATATCCGGTTGTGACAGAGCTTGTTGTTGATCAGGTTCACTGTTTCATTCATATTTATTGTAATATATTTTTTGTTTTGTAAATATGTTATACACAACAAAATGTGATTGGTCTAAAATATTTGTAATGTATATTAAATGGCTCCAAAATATTTTTAGAAACCTAAGTTATTTTTGCACTCAATGACAAACTTGAATTATACTTTCTGATGTGATTCACTTCTGAAGTTCTGGGAAAAGAATATGAAAAGCATATAATACATTTGCACCAAAGTATAACTTGACAGGATTTCTTGATTTGTACTTTATTCTCCCCTTCCATCTCTCTCTCTCTCTCTCTCTCTCTCTCTCTCTCT